TCGCGTCGGAAGCAGGAGGGGCAGCAGGCCCAGCACCTGCGCTCGACAAACGCGCCTGGTGGTCGGCGTTAATTCTCTCCCCATAGAGCCAGGGAGGAAAAAAGATGGGAAGTTTTTCTCCTTATCTCTCCCAGCTCCAAGAGGAGAATTTTTGTCCGAACTAATAATTACTGTTCCTCATAAAGGCCTTTCTTTTTGAGGTGTCTTTAAAAAGGATGGGCCCATTCCTTAATGAGAATTTTTCTGACAGCGCTACATGTTAATTAGTGTTGCAAACACAGTGCACCAGTCCAGACACAGGCCCGGCCAGTGTCCCACAGTGTCCCGTCCCTCCCTGCAGCACACAGACTCAGCAAGGAGCAGGCATAACATGGCTGAAGCCATCCCCCACCGTGGCGGTATTGCCTGTGACATCCAGACAGCTGGTGCTGGTCTTACTGGGCTGCCTGCGGCCGGGAAACTTAACGTCATGCCTGCAGCAAATGGTTCTGCTGCAGAGACGTCATGTCTTGTCAGGATAAGGGCATGTAAGGATATGAGATTAAAATTTCAGGTAGAAGTAGTCATCTCTCCTAGACTGTCAGTAGGTTTCCATGTTCTGCTGTTAGTTAGTTGATCCCGATGATCACCATTTGGGCAGACATCCTTTGGCTGCCTGTGCTCTGGCACCCAGGGGCGTGGACAGGGACGGAGCATGGCAGCCCCATGGCTGTTCCTCCTCTGAGCAGTGGCAGTAGTTCCAGGCTTTTCAATGCCTCTTTGGCCCTTAACCAACTGCTTTTTGTTTATTGCTCTTATTTGCCAATTCTGTTCAATGGATGAAATGCAGATTTTGTTCAGAGCTTTCCATCCTAGCGCAGCACAGTTAGAAAAACTGTAATGTAAAGTCAGAAAAACTGTAATGTAAGCTGTCACCTTCCTCAGCAGATCTAGCTCATGTGCTAGCCATGGCTCCTGTCTCTACTGCCAAAAGCAAAGAAGCTCTTTGGAGCAGCAGGTGTTTCTTTCTGTGCATTGGCCTGGCGTCAGCACAGTGGGTCCTTGACTGGTCCCCTAGGTGCTAAAACAGTAGAATAACTCATTTATGGTCAAAATGTGAGTCAGCATGTTAATAAACATCTGATGGCAGTCACCCCTGACAGTAGAACCAGAGAAGGCAAGTCCAGTTTGACTCTCCCTGCCCATGACAAGTTGTTTTTAAAACAACACATAAATAACCGAAGCAATGAACTTAGAAATCCACGGTGCCAACCTTGTAACAAATGCTTTGCTGCAGCTACGAGGTTTGGCTGTGGCAGATGGATTGTAGGCCTTGCCAGGCATAATTGCCCTCTTTGTGTGCTACCAGTGCATAAGCTGGATATTTCTGGAGATGAGCACAAGCTGCAAGGCTTGGTTCAGGCCTTCAGATGCTTCTGGGTTTGGGTGTCTTAGTTTTGAGATCTGAATTTGGCTCATCACGGAGGGAAGTCTTGACAATGATTTGATGTGGTAGGTTCGTTTCCAAATTTTATTGGAGTTCACAGTCTGGGTTTATTTGGATCCTTCTTGGGTTACTTTGCTGATGATTAATACTCTCCACTTTCTTAGAATAATCAAATAGAAGAAATCTTTCCAGAAGAGCTTGCTCGTCTTTATAGACTGGAAACTCTCAATTTGCAAAACAACAGGCTAACTTCAAAAGGTAAGCCAGCAGAGCCGTGAAGTGGACAGAGCCTGTGCCTCCACACCAGCAGCTTTTGCAACGAGGCCAGTGACAGCTGATAAGGAAAGCCACAGAGTGATGGATTGACTTGGTTGGAGTGGTTAGTTATAAGCCTCACTCCTTTGGCCACCACACAGATCATGGAGGCACTTTATCATCTGAAACATAATACTCAGTGTATAAGAATGCAGCCTTACTGAACCAGTGGAGGAGACCTGGCAGCAGCTCTGTGTGCTGTGGCGTGAGATCTTCTCATCCAGGAAACTCCCTCTGGTCCCACAGGCACATCAATGCAATGCACTTGAGAATGAGAAATGTCTGCATGCTGAATGATTTCCTTCTGACTGACCTTGTTTCTTAATCCACTTGGTCAGTTCAATCTAGTCAGTTAGTTAGTGCAGTTTAGTCCAGTTCTGTCCTTGTCCGGTTTGTATAAATACAAATAATATATATTGCAAATAAGGCAACTTCTACCCTTCTTCTAAAACCTTTTTGATATTTGTAGGCAGGCTTTGCTTGCTAAGTCATATGCTTATTAGAGAAACTTGACAGGGGGTTAGTAAGGAAAGCAAAAGAAACTGAGGAATTGAAGTAAATAGTAAGAGAGAAGGATATGCAATACGAGAGAGAGAATTGTTGTTAACTTGTGTGTCACCCAGTTGCTCTGAATGCTGTTGCTGTCCTTATTCCAATGATAGAGAACAACCTTTACTGAGAACGTGGACATACTATGCACAGGACCCAAAACATGGCACTCTTCCACAGCACAAGGAAGGCTGTGCTTGATAGATTCAGACTTTGACGATACTGCCTTTGGGGCTTGATGTTTCTTTCACAAGCTTCAGTGCAGCCCTGAGTTTCCAATATGTTTTGACATGGGAAATAGCTTCACCTTTGACTTACGGTTATCTAAGTGCCAGGTGAAAATGTTATTTGCAGCCTTTCCGTTGTGACAGCAATTGTGCTTGTGTGATCAGCTGGATGTGGATTGATTCAGCTGAAAATTAATAATTATTGGGGGGAGGGTAAGCTCCGAGTTGGATCAGCTCTCTGAGCTGGTTACTGCGTGGCTATCTGGATTGTGAGGGAGCAGAACAAGAAAAGGGTCGTAACATGCAGAAACTGGTGTTATTTTGGCAACATCATGGTCATAGATCAGATTGACCCGATCATTAAACAACCTCAGATTATATCCTTCCAAGAAAAATGATTTTGCAGATTCGTAAGCAAATGACAAAAGAAACTTCTCGGATAGCATAGTTGTTGCCAGCACCGATAATCAGCTGCAGCAAGTCTACACTGCTCTGTACCTGACCCTTGCCAGTGGGATTGGTCACAAGCCTTGCATGCTTAGGATTTTTAATGGTCTTCCATTGCTCTTAACAGTCTATGGTTTTGGTTTTTTTAGTTTAAAAAAAACCAAACCAAAGACAACAGTAGGTCTGAGTAAGATTGTTTCAGTGGCAATGAAAAAATATTTAAATCTCACATTAAAAATACTGTCTGAGAGATAAAGCTACTCTCTGGTATTTTCACTCAAGAGGCAATAAGGTGCTGTTGTCACTGATTAGTTATTCCTGTTTTTAAGGGTTGCCAGAGGAAGCATTTGAGCATCTGGAGAACTTGAATTACCTATACCTGGCAAACAATAAGGTAAGAAACTCACAAGGCTTTCAGAGTTCTTTTTTAGTTGGGTTCTGAAAGTTAAGCAAATAAGTCTTCAATTATTTTAAAATATATATCCTACATAAGTAAAATTGTGCTGAAGTAATTTTGTGCAGGTTTGTCTGAGGTCAAGGCAATCAATCAATATACCAAAAAATTAGAGGATACACATGCTGGTATATTTTGAACACTTACTTAGTGGTGCAACTGGTGAAAGGTTTCCCTTGTGTGTGTAGGGAGATACAGGGAGCCCCTGAATTTATAAATTACCACTGTCTTCTGTAGGCTTTGGATCAACTGCATGCAGATTTGGTAGCTGCCTGTGTGCAAATAAGCAGTGGGGTAATGAAATGCTGCATGTCTCATCAGATGAGGCTGGTTGAAAAATCTGTGAACACACACATCCTAATACTTGTGTTTGAGCCATCAAGATCTGTAAAAAGCTGTCCAGTTTTTCCTGACTCCCATTCTTATTAGGTTTGATGGCGGGGGGAGGGGATACCCACACACAGTGAAATTGTGTAAGTTATGATTTTATTCTTTCAGCTGCAGTGATAGGAGCTGAATTTCTTTATTAATGGGGAAGATCCTAGGTGCTTTCCTATTAATGACCCAAGTTGGGTGTTATGACAGAAGCACATCTTTCCTGCCAGGGCTAGGAAATGAAATAACTTCTCACATACCCTTATGTCTGGGTGGTTCCCATTATGGCTTTCTTTATTCCCAGTGATTGTCCACAAATATTTGCTACAGAAGAAACTGGGATGCCACAGAAAAATATAAGTTAAAACATCAGTCAGAGCTTGTTTTGCCTAAAAAAAGCCTGCCCTTCTATCTCTCCATCTCTCTCTCTCTATACATCTGTATATGTATTTTATTCTCCTCTTAAAATCTGTGACCTGTTGATTTTTTGTTTATATGCATGTGGCCACATTCAGGTTTCAGTCAGGCCAAGACATCCAGAATCACTCCATAGATTTCTGTATGGAGTGATTAAGAATATAACCCATTCCTTAGTACAGTAACATTGTGTTCTTTTCTCCCTTTCAAGCACCATTTCCATATAACAATCTTGGCAGTTAATACCTCCATAAAAAGGAACAAGCCAGACTGTGACTAATATTCCAGAACTTTGCACTCCAATTTTCCCTGTGTCACAAAACAAAGTGTTTGGTTTTTCTGGCTTTACTGCAGGGAGAAAAGGATCCCAAAAGAAAATGCAAACATCAGCGAATGTCAGAACTAGTTATAGTGAGAAGTTGTAGACCCACAAAAATAACACATTTCTTTATAAATCACAAGCCAGGACAAACCAGATTTGCTTCAGACTGCGTCCACTCTGCAGCAGGAAACACTGCAGATCAAGTAACTGTGGCTTCTGGAGGAGAGCAGGGATTTGCTGGTAGTTTGCTCCTTGTTTTATGGATTATCTTAATGCTGCTTTGTCTTCAGTTGTGATCCCATCAGATGTACCTAAATGACCTTTCCTTAAACTAGCACAGTTGGTCAGAGAGAAGAAACATCACAACAGACAAAGTCTTCGGTGGCTTATGAGTAAAAAGTACTTCAAGTAGAGAATGGATGCTATAGTTTCCTTTTTAATTTTTCACCCCACTCTCATAATTCCTATCTATTACATAGGATCCACAGTGAGCCTTGTTAATCACAGAAATCTCTTCCACCAAACACTAGACCAGGTCCTGAGCTAAGATTATTATTTACTAAAAGCCGGTGATTTTGTTGACAGAAGGTTTTACATTTCCCCGTATCCCCAAGGTGATATGGGGTTCACCTGGATCCAATACTTCTGTTTATATCAAAGCTTGTTATAAGCAAGAAAACTTATTCCAAAACTGGTAATAACTTTTGTATAATCCTTCTGAGTTTGTGGTTAACTCCTTAGTTAACAGTGGAGAAACACTGTCTGCCATATGGAAAGGAAGGTCCAGCAGTAAAGCTGTGAGAAGATGGCAGCTGGAGAAATGCAGATTGCAGCTCATTAGTCACTATACTAGACAAAGCTACTCGATCAACTTTATTTTTGCTAACAGTTACAACCATCCAGCATGAATCCTTCAGGCAGTCAACCAGTGAAGATCAGTTAGTCTCATGACTAAGTGCTGAAATGCTGAAGCAAAGTCCTGAGCAAGTGAAAACTCTTTTTGGATGAAACTTCTCTTTGTCTTTCCCTTTCCTCTTTCTTGTGGTTCTGATGTCTCTCATTTCACATACCTGAGCCGTGCCCTTTGCTTTGTATAAAAGTTATGATCTAATAGACCATGTTTCAGGAGAAAAGCTTTCATGTGCCACCATGTATGAAAGTGATTAAGTCTGCTTCCTGTGTCTGAATTCTTAATCTTAATATTATGTCACAGTAGAGACTTACTGTTTTCTGAGGCACTGTCAGACCTTCCTAGTCAGAGATGAGTGCCTTTGTCCACTTCCCTGATATCATATCTCTCAGGTCAGGAGGTGAGAGATTACCAGTAAAACCAAGAGCAGTACTGGAGCAACTGTAGTAATACATAGAATGCCTGTTTCTACTGCTTATGTGCTATCTGGGAATACTGATAGGAGCGTGATTTGTGGGAAAGATTGTTTTTTGTGTTTGTGACCATAAAACATTTAAGACAGCTTAAGGATGGAGGTTTTGGCACAGGTGAAAATGAAAACAGGTAATAATCTACTTTCATCTTTTAAAGAACGGGACTGTATTATGAGTCCAGTAAACTGCAAGTTCATGAATATAGTCCATCAGTGCACACTGGACAGACTAGTAGAGAGGGATCTAGCTGCCCTTTAGGTAAATATATAGTTTAAGGCTTTGGTTAGGCAATTCTCCGATAAGGTATCTGTTCTCTCACACATTGTTCATCTTTTAAATATTTTTGGTGTTATGCTATTATTAATAACCAATTGCAGCTTTACGGTAGTAAAAATTTGAAAAATATGTTTTCTCATTGTGTGAGTCTTGCTGTGCCTTGCTGGCTGTAACAACTAAGTTCTGTTTCATGCGACAGTGCTGTGAGGAAGAAGCTTTACAGATTCAAAGAATTTCAAGCTAGAAGGCAGACCTCTTCCATTGCCCAGAGTTTCCCATCCTGATCTCAAAGCTTTGGATGACAAAGAATTCAGTATCTCCCTAGAAAATATGTTCTCTCCAGAGCCCTTCAGAGTGTACATAAAATATTGTGAGAGTGGTCTCATTAGTACTGTAGTTAACATCTGTAGCTATGGTGATTGCACCTGCCTGCTGCATTTCAGTAGTCTTCTGCTTATGTACTCAAGGATCATAGCTATTACAGCATTGTGTTAATAATTTGTTTCCCAAGGGCTTAATCTTGATGCATAAATCTTTTGGGTTTATGCTTCCCAGAAAACTGTCCTCCAGCATGTATTGTAACCTGTATTCTTGGTTTCTAGGTGAATGACTTTGCTTTGCAGCCACTCAGTGAACCTAGCTATTGTATTATCTGGATGCTCTGTAAAACTGAGCTTTTTTGACCATTTGTTTTCACTCCACCAATTTTTGTTCAGATGCAGATAGATGTTCCTAGCTTTATCTTTTAACGTCACTGATAAGAATAGCAATAGACCAAGGGCAAACGCAACAAATCCTATACCTCTCGTCAACTATAAAGTTTTGGAGGCACCTTTCTGTATTTTGTTTCTGATACATCACTTGTTTAATGAACAAGGTATCACTGTATGGTAGGTCCTTGCTTTGAAGTCCCATTTGATATTCCGTCATTTGGCTCAGAAGCATCCCTGTGCTTTGGGAACCTGGATCCTCTCTTGAAAAGATCATCGTAAATGGATGCCATGTTGGAACAGACATATGAAGTGATGCTTCCCCCCGCAATATACTTTCATAAGAGAGTAAATAGTAGGCCACTCTGAGATGGGTTGGATTTTTTTGGCCCAGCAGACTGAGGAATTAGGAACAATAACAAGCAAAGTGTTTGCTCTCTGGATAACAATTTCTTGATTTCTTCCACCAAAAAGAGATGGGACTTTTCCAACCAAAACAAACATTCACATATCTTGGCGCGAAAGTCTGTCTCCTTCCTGGAGAGATTAGTGAGTGAGGACAATTTGGTTTTGCTCATGAAATCTGCATTGAGTTTAATTTATTTTTGCCTGTTTAGAGAAAATAAATGTGCAAGTGTTTTGTTGCTGGTATAATACCTGGTTAAAACATTTGTTGCATATAATTGGAATTCCCCTGTATATTTCTTTTACAGCTAACAGTGGCTCCGAAATTTTTACCGAATACCTTGATCAGTGCAGATTTTGCAGCCAATTATCTCACTAAGATATATGGGCTCACATTTGGACAGAAACCAAACTTGAGGTAAGGGATTGGGAAGTACAACAATGATAGTGTTCTGCCACTGCTTCGATGCAGTGGGTGGGTGATGAGAAACTATCTGGCTAAACAATGTTATTGCCTACTTCTGGTTTTTGGAAAGAAGTTGACTTGTTCTCAGCATGAAAGGTCAAATAATCTTTCAGACAAACACATTCCAAGGGCTTTTACTAGCTGCCAGACACTTTTGTATAAATAAAAATTAAATTGTTGCCATTTTATTTGTGTATTAATTATGAGTTGAAAGGTACAGCTTTGATTTCTCAAAATGGAGATTAATTTACAAATCCTTAGTTTTATTATAGTCCATTCATTTAAAAAAATAGAATCAGGTTGAGAGTACAGTACTCAGTGCAGTTGAGTGTAGCTCAACTATATTAAAGCTAAGCACTTTAGCACCTCCAGAAGTGGTTCATACCCTCAGGTCTGGTTTCAAAGGTCTGTCTGCTAGTTTCGGGTAGTGATATTCTGAGCTGGATTTTGTGCAGCACATTGGGCCATCTCAAATTCAGATGCACATAGACCACCTCCCGTGAGACAGGGTCTTTTCCAGAGGCATTTTGAGTACTCTGTGTGGACACTGCAGCATCTAAATCCTGCCAAGTCATCTCAAACTGTTGGTAGCATTTTACACATCCAACTTCGGAAGCAGTTAATAATAGCTGACCCAGTTGAGCTCATAGAGCCCGTGATGATGAACTGAAGGACTCTCCATTCCCACTGAATTCGTTGAGAGCTGAAGCTGCTCTGTACTTACTAGGTCTTTAGTCTCATAGGCTCTTGGTAGCTGAAAAGGCTGAGTCACTCACTGAGTTCTGGCAATATCTCATGGTGGAAGAAGCTAGTTTTATACATGTGTTCTTCCGTAATCTGAGTTGCAGAAGCTGCTGTGTTTTGATTTCATATTAAAATTCTTGCACTCTTCTGAAGTGATTTTCACACTCTCCTATACCAACACTAATTTTAATCAGGATAGTAACTCATTGATTTCCAAGATTGTGAATATAAAATCCCAACACAGTTGTTTCAGCTGGTTTATTTGCCCCCAGCAGAGTTCATGGTCTCAGACTGATTATTTGGAAAGCAAGTTTTTCAGAAAGGCAAATATTTATGAGTTAAAAGTACAGCTGACCATGCAGGGTGAACAATATTTTCAGTGTGGCTCTGAGCTCCCTGGAGTGTGTGGTCACACGATTGTGTTTCCATACTGAGCCTTTCCTTCCTTCCAGAAAGATGTTGCCAAGTTCTCTGCAACTGGTAGAGAATCCAAGCACAAGTTAAAAAAAGCACACTTTGACACTGTGCTCTTTTGCGGTTTTAACCTGTCTCTCCAATTTTAGCTGCCTGCTGCATCTTGGGGTAAAACAGGAAAGGAAGATGTGATCAAAGTCAGTAAAATCCTGTAATTTCTTTTGTTAAAAACAAGTCAAATTAATTCATTTAGCAGTTAAACCACTGAAAAGCAGGAATAACTTTCATAGGGATCCATTGTTTTATAGAGAATTAAAACTTGTGTGAGAAAGAATGAATCCATTTTTTTAAATCTTATTGGAGAAACTCTTCTGTGAATATTAAAGGATAAAAGTAAGAAGGGCAAAGCGAAAATAAGAAACTCGCTTTCTCTCAATCCCAAATGTTCATTAAAAAACCAAAGTTCTTCCACATTAAGTAAATCTGCTGTCTTTCTGTCAGTACCCTATGCCTTTCCGAGTTCTAGGAGTAGGAGAGAAACTGTTTCCTGGGGTATTTCCAGGCTTTGTGGGAGCAGAAAGAATGGAGGGGTGAGAGGGGGCCCTTTTCTAAGAGATCTACAAGCTTGATTTTGCAAGCCCAAGAAGCCCAGATTTGATTCCAAATAGAAGTTAAAACTGGAGATGTGTCTATTAATTAGAGTGAGGCCACCACGCCGACATTCTTTGTTTCAAAGCATTGCACAATCCCAGACTTGCACTCAGTTTCTTGTTAAGAAGATAAGGCTGCTTGTGGAATCTGTATTCACATGCAGGTTTGGATTTTGAATAGACCTGAGTTTCACAGAGTATTTGGAACAACCGTTTGGTTTTGCATCTCTATCCCTTGCTAAATTAAAGGGCACATTTTAAAAACAAATCTAATTATCTCAAGGAAGGAAGAAAAGATTGAAATACAATTTTTAAACAGCTTTCTTTTGGTAAACAAAAAAACCCAGATCTCACTATTTAACTTCATCTTTTTTTTCTCCTTCCAACAGATCTGTATATCTTCATAACAACAAACTTTCAGATGCTGGGTTACCTGATAATATGTTCAATGGCTCTGATAATGTGGAGGTACTCATCATGTCCAGCAATTTCTTGAAGTATGTTCCAAAAAATCTCCCTCCAGCACTGTATAAATTACACTTAAAGGTAACAACAACAAGGTTTTGTATTCCTTTGTGATTGTGACAAAGTACTGTGTGTGTATGGGATTCAAATCACACAGCCAAGCCATTTCAGTGCACTTGGAAACATTCCCAGGCCCACTGTAAGTCTGCTATATCCTCAGCGGTAGCTGTCTCCCATGTCCTTACTTTTTTGTTCGTAACAGTGTGTTTTTGCAAAACACCGAAATACTCACAGGGGACAAAAATGCTTCTCTGTGTTTTCGGGGTAATGTATTGCAAATGCCTCTGTGGTAGCATTGTTGGTCTCTTCCTGCATATAGTGATATTAATACGTATTAGTACAAGAAGGTTGATCATTTTCTGTGACCATCCAGTGACTGGCCTCTCTGTCAAGTTTGCCTCTGACGAGGCTGTTTTTCCTGACAGCTGCTTACCCACTATGTACTGGCTTTGCTCACTAACTCATTTCACGTAGGCTACTGTTTCCTAGCATCAGTGATATTTGTTTGCTACTGAACTGGCAATTCAGACAACACAGGGAAAGTTTGGATCAGTGATTCTTTACTGCTACAACTTCTCCAGCAATAGTGCAATAGCAGAAGTTGTGGTATTAACTAGTCTCCAGCATTTTTAATTCCATGTCATCTGATTTCGATAAAAACACTTCATCACGTCTGTGCTAGAGATCCCAGCCTTGTTAACAATGGGAGAGCTGCAGCAATGGGGAGTCCTGGTTCCGCTTGCTCCTAGTGTTGACAGCTCCTTGGCCATGTGTAGGCTGGAGTCTGTTATCAGCCCCTGGACTTAGGCAGTTGTGTGTTGCCTCCCAGCTTTCTTTTCCCTTGAAGGTTTCACCACTAATTCCCATTAAAGTCTTTGAGAAAACAGGCTTCTCCAGCTTGAAGAAAAGTAAAGACAAACAGTCTGATCCTTTAAATTGCTGGAATTTCTCTGCAAAGTGTGAAGCTGCTAGTCCCCTGCATTTTGTTGCCTTTTATAGGTAATCATTGTCTCCCAAAGGGGTCTCAGACTTTGAGGACTACACTTTGAACTGTTATCCTTCCCTGCTGTCACCAGTTGTGTTGAGGGCGGAGGAGCTGAAGAGAGAAATGAGCATTTTGTTTCCAAGTGCACTGCCTGTCTGTAGTAACATTTATCTTGATATTTTGATTGGGGAAAAAAACAGGACAATGAGAAATGAGAGACAGCCAGTAGTGGAACAAGTGTCCAAAAGGTGTACTTTAGATTTGACAGATCTTTTTTTTCATCTTTCACTATTCATTGAGACACTCAGCCAAAATCTGTCTCTGTGATGGTGTCCACTTGATATTAGTTGACGTGGATCTAGTCCATTCTGTCCGTCACATTATTGTGTATTAGTGGATTGTGGGAAGTTTAACAAATTCAGTGTCAGTGTTTTATATATCCTTTTAAAATTCCTAGTGTTTTGTGTAACCTTTTATAATTCCTACAGTTCCTGTATGGAATTTCTGAGTGGAATTTAGTTTTATATTTTGTTCGTGTCTGCCTGCTGGCTACTCCAAAGCCACACTAAGGCAGTAGGAGTAGGTGTTTTGGAATCTATGTTGCAGGAACTGTACCTTTTGGAATGCCATTAGTGCTGGAAGGATGACTGGTTCCCAGCTTCCAACCTAATTCTTCTTCATGGTGAAATCTGTCTCACAAAATCTAGAAATTTTGAGCAAACTCTAGAGGTAGTTGCCTAGATTACATTATACATTTGCACATCGGTGGAAGGACTACAAATAGAAAATAAAATTGTCCGTGGGGCCGGAGGCAAATTCTAACTCCTTAGCCCAAAGATTCCATGGGGAGTCAATGAAATCGGGTTGTAATACTTCAGCCTGGTATTTGTATTTTTCTTAAGCAGAATTATAATGCCTCTTGAAATATCTTATGTCTAGCCCTTTTGAAGTTTAATGGCCTGGTGTTAGTTAAGCAGAACCTGAATGTCCTGTGTTTTGTCATGCCAAATATTGTGCTTTGTGCTTCTGGTGACTCTAGAACAACAAGCTAGAGAAGATTCCCAAAGGAGCCTTCAGTGAACTTACAGGTCTGCGGGAGCTGTATTTACAGAATAACTACTTGACTAATGAGGGAATGGACAACGAAACTTTCTGGTGAGATTGAGATCTGTAGTTTGTACCTCTGGGTATGTCTACCTCCTCTGGTACAGTAGTACTTGTACTGAACAAAGTACAATTTAAGAAATATGTTTATTAAAAGCTGCATGATGTTACGCATTTCTCTGCGAAGTCTATATGAAAAGTCTTAGATTCAGATGCTGCCATACAAAAGCAAAGGTCTGGGTGAGTGGTTTGATTCGTGCTTCAGAATACTTTTATACGAAAGACACAACACTGAACATCAGATTGCATCATTCCCTGATTGCCACAGAGCCAATCACACCAGGTAACTGTGTGCCTTCTAGGACAAGGCCACCAATGTTGAAAGCTGGTCTCTATTCTTCCAAACCAGTCAAAAGTGAGGTTACGTGGGACTTCCCAGTTTCAAGGGCAGTTCACTGGAAGTTAAGGCCAGACCTTCATCTTCGCTAAAGCCACTTCTCTGTTTCTGTGAAGGTGACTTGAAAGCAGCTACAGATACTGGCACAGCTGTACCCCAGTGCAGATGATTGCTGGAGTAGGCAGGGATGTAATGGTGCTGCTTAATAGCCAGATGGCTGCAAAAGCTTTGCTACAAAGTGGTGCAACAGAAATAGCCTTTGTCTGTCCTAAATTTAGCCTGGGACTTAGCACTTTGAAAAGTTAGCATTTGTGTCTCTGCTTGCACTGAGTGTTGCCATTATTCTATGTAAAAATCCAGATCACATAATCTGTCCTGCCCATAGCTTAATTCTGTAAACTTTTCAGATCTGCAGACATGAAAATGTATCAAACTGTGCTTTCCTTTTCCACTTCTCACTCCCAGAGACCTCAGTAATTTACCATAGCTGTGTTGTGTCTGCCTCCAGGTCATGTTGGACATATAATTTCTGTTAAGATTTTGATGAATAGAGTACAGGGGCCATAGCTAAGGCTGCAGTCACAGTCAGCAGAGGGGGTGAATATTGCTTCTTGTTCTTGTGCTACTGTCTGTAAGCACAGCATAGTGCTATTGAGATGTCCCCAAGCTGGGAAAACATTAAAACTTAGGGCAATGAAGTGCTCTATCCAAAGAGTATATTTGCTCTTTCACAGCATGCTTGGATGGCTGTGAATAGCAGTATAGTAAACAGCGGGTAATGTCTGTAATGCATTAGTTCTCGCATTTCCTGAAAACTTTGTAGTCATCTGCAGTGGGTTATGTAGTGCCATGCAGATTAAAAGTCTCATTTGAACTGAGAAACTGATTTGACATACAAGGGAATACAGAGCTCCTCAGTCCTGGCATATAATACCATTGATCCACATCCAGTTGGTGTAAGTGGCTGGTTTGAGGATTTATTTTAGCTCCAACTGAGTCCATGGAATCCAGATTCAGTAGCTTACACAAAGCAGCTCTAGCCCTGACTCACTTCCATAATGCTGAAGGGTCAGGAGAAGTTCACTACCTTAGCCTAGGACACTAAATTAGCATTTCTGCTTTTCAGAAGAATAATATTTCATCATCGAAAAAGCGGACCTGCTTTTCAGTTTCAATCTGCACTTTCAGAGAGAAAGAAAATACTCATGCTTAGGCTACATTTCTGTGAAACCAAGTGGTAAATTCTGTATTCTAATGGTGCTCCCGTGGCATCTTTCTCATGGTATTTGTTCACTGAAATTGCTCATATGTTGCTATCTGTGGTGTCAAATGAGAGAACAGCAGACTGCAAAACTGATCTCAGGTCTCAGCCTTGTGTCAGTTTGAATGTCTGTCGACTCTATCAGGCTCTCTTGCTAGTGTGTCTGGGGAGCAATGGCAGCACCCAGTCCTAATCCCTAATGGCAGTGTGGGAGCTCCCTGTTTTGCTATCCCCATCAGTCATATCATGAGACAAAAGAGCAGTAATGGGAGCTGTGCTGGGTAAAGAGATTCTAAAGCAAAGATTGTAAAATCCTAGGGGAAGTTGGTTATCATTTCACGTTGCAGAATCTAAATGGACAGTGTTTTCTTTCCTGCTCTCCCAAGGAAATTGTCCAGTCTTGAGTATTTGGATTTGTCCAGCAATAACCTCTCACAAATCCCAAGTGGTTTACCCCGAAACATCGTCCTCCTCCACCTGGAGAAGAATGCAATTAAGGTGATTGGCAGAGATGTCTTGACTCAAATTAAGAACCTGGAGTACCTTCTGCTCCACAATAACAAATTAAAAGCCCGAGGTATTCACCCATTAGCCTTCCATGGCTTAAAGAAGCTGCACACTGTCCACCTGTACAACAACATGCTGGAAAGGATTCCCAGTGGGCTGCCCCGGCGAGTGAAAACACTTATGATCCTTCATAACCAGATTTCTGAGATTAACAGGAATGACTTTGCTACCACTTACTTCCTTGAAGAGCTGAACCTGAGCTACAATAAGCTCAAAAGTCCCCAGATCCATCGGGAAGCCTTCCGTAAACTGAGGCAACTAAAGTCCTTGGATCTTTCTGGAAACAATCTCCACACGGTGCCCTTTGGCTTTCCAAAGAACTTGCAGATTCTGAAGCTGAAAGAGAATGAGATAAGCATCATCCCAAAAGGGACTTTGTCAGGGATGACAAAGCTGCGGGAACTGTATTTGAGCAACAATAAACTGAAAGTAAATTCAATTTATTCAAGAGCATGGAGAGAACTCAGCAGTCTCCAGGTAGAAACATCACCTTCTTTAATTGTTTTAGTAATGCTGATGTCCTCGGCTCTCTGCCTAAGCCAATTCATATAGCACCACTACTAGATGTGCTTGGTCCTCATGTTTTGGGCTTGCATTGTAAGTGCTACACCCTCTGTTTCTAGAGTAGAAATGATGTGCTCTTGTGCCAGAGGTGTGTACGTCCCACTGCTGACCAGCCCACCATGTACTGCTAATTCTGGGAAATGTGAGGGTATCTTAGCTTCTGAACCCTAATGGTGTCCCGTATTTTCAGATAAACGTTAGTGGATGTTGTCATTAAAACTGAACGTATGCTTTTCAAATAGCTTGCTCACAAAAGATTTTAAATGGGCTACGAAGAGAGACAGCAGGAGGAAGGAATGCATAAACAAAACCACTCTTAATTCTCAAAGCCCCCACATCAGCTTATAGTCAGACAAGCCAAGCTGTGGGATTTAGCAGCTCAGCTGGCTAAGGCACCTGGATAGCAGCTAGGAGGTCTGGATTCAATCAGCAGTCTTCTCATTTGCTTAATTGTTGGAGAAAGTTAAACGCAAACCATAAGGCAGGGAGGAACAATCACATTTGTGCTGTGCAAAATGACCTTTCAAAATTGTTACGCTGGCTGAATGATTTGTCAGCATTTCCTTTTAGGCAATGGCCTGTTTCTTGTAGTAAAAGGCATTACCTATGTCATATGGCAACCACCTAGGGTGCATATGGTTAGGTCACTGTACAGGCAAAGTTTGTACATCTCGGAGCAGATCAGGGATAAGGGACATGGAGCACAGTGTGTTTTCAGACAATCCAAATGTTTGTCTATGCAAACCTTTTCCTTTCTGTTGTTTCTGGGAATAAACAACAGCTTGTTTTTCAGTTAATGTGAATCAGCAATGCAACAACAGTATCTATAGAGCTGTTGGTTTGCATCAGCTGCAGAATTGGTCCGTGGCTTTAATAATACATTTTGCATTTGTTTGGTGCCTCACTGATGTGCATATATGTGTGTGTGTGCGCGCGCATGCAAATGTATCTAAGATGAAAAGTAGTCTGGAAGGAAGGCACTGTTGAGAATTACAGATGCTGGAATTATTTCACTGCAGTAGCTCAATAAAATGTAGGCACTGTCACCTGGGTTGGGTTGGGTTGTTTTTTTCAAACAAAAATGGGTCATGAGACCTGTTAGGCAGCTTTAGTTGTTGGTAGGAATGAAAAGCTTTCCTTCTCGAAAGGCCTCAGTCATAGCTACTTCATATCACTTTTATTCTGCTGTCACTCCTCTGTAGTTGGTGTCAAGCCAGAGCAACACATTGCTGAATCAAACATTGGCCCTTAAGTTGTACCCACCTCACAGCAAACCCTGTTCATGTTAAATAAGGTTACAATAATAGCACACAGTTAAAATTCTGTTAGACTGACGGTGCATTTTTGGCTGTTGCTTTTTTTCTGGAACACTTGTTAGTTATTTCCATGATACTATAGATGTATCTTTTTTATTTGGTAAGGGCTTAACTGTGCAATTGGTTTATGAGTTGGTGCACTGGAGTGGATTTGACAAATAGCCATCATATAAGATCCTGATTGTGCCTGTACTTAGCATATGCTTCAGTCTGCACTGTTTCCATGGAAATCGCTGAAGACTATCTGCAATTGCAAAGCTAGACATTTACATAATTGTTTGCCAGGCTGGGATTATGTGGAGAATAAAACCACTGAAATCATGACAATCGTTTGCAGAACTGTGGCTTTGAATAATGTGTAACTAGTGTGTCAGCTTGGTGCTATGAAAATGCTACAATACAGGACAACAAAACGCTTCTATTGATCCATTTTCTTGCATAAAATTAATGGCCTTTAGTCCTGATGTCTTCGTACATTCTCTGTGTTAGAATATTTTCAGATGTTTTTATGCATAACTCTGACTAGTCACTAACCTTAGCTAGTGAAATGTTTGCAGTAGCAGCTTCAAAGGAGTTCTCATCCATATCTGAAACCCAGTCTTTTCATTCACTTAAAGCAGGCATAGTCTAAAGCCTGGGGACAGAGATAAAGAAATGTTGGAACTCCTAAACAAAACAGCGTGGCGTCTCATGTGAAATCATGACACTAAATAGTAGTGTAAGAGAGCAGAATGGTCATGGTCACACTTACCTTGATGCAAATTAGAGGTAGATTAAGTTAGTTTATGCTATAATAGATATATTAGATATCACTTCAGTTTTTTCACCATTAACTCAAACTGAACCTTGCTGCATGGCTGACAATTTGCAATTTCCACTGTACGCATGGTGTTTGTCATTTTCCTGACCTCACCAGGAGGGAGAAGTTCTGAAGCAGACTCACCAAAGTACCATCTGAAAAATAAAGCCCATTTCCAGATGATTTTCAAACACAACAAATCCTGGATAAGCTTTGCATAAACATCTCCCTTCTGCACTGTTGCTATACTAAGTTTTTTATAAGTGTGTGTATATATATATATGTATTTTTATAAAGTTATGTGTATGTGTGTATATATTTAAAAAACAATGGATAAACTTCCAAAGGAGGGATATGTGTATAGAGCCAGCCTTTGGAAGCTAATTTGTTGCCAAACTTAAATCTCTCTTTGGAGTGCTGCTAATGTTTAAATTCAGTTATTTATCTGACCCCTTATTGTCTCTTCCTTGCAGTCACTAGACATGGCTGGGAACCAGCTGGCTTCTATCCCATCAGGCCTGCCAGAATCTCTAGAATATCTGTATCTTCAGAACAACAAGATCACAACGGTTTCAGAGAATGCTTTTGAATCCACGCCCAAAATAAAGGGGATTTACCTCAGGTAAGGTCAAGTTTCCACTTCAATGCACAAGATTTTTTCTTCTTCATCCACTTTATAATTGCTTACTTTTTAGAAAGTATTTAAAATCCTAACTTTCTAGATAAGCAACTTTGTTTTATAGTAATGTATGATGAAACTATGTTCATCTGCTCAGAAAAGACATGGACACACATAATAAGCTCTTTCTGTTCGAAGAGTTTGTCTTTTCTGTGCTTATTAGAATGCATTAGACATGTTAGAAATTCTGGAAATTAATGTTTAACATTATGCCATATTCCAATACTCATCTGTGAGCTAAAAGTTTACAGTCCACTGGTAGGACTACAGCTTCGCCTGTGTCTGTTAGCCCTGGATTTTGAGAAAATCCCCCTCTAGTGAGGCATGTATGACTAATCTTGAAGTTGTGTGCGTTCCTTTCATAGTTCTGTCAGAAACAGATGACAAGTTACAACTGTGACAGTTATGTAACTTAGTTTAGAGTATTTTCTGTTTTTTTTCCTGCTCTGCCAGTTGGATGAGGACTTTGTTTTTATAAGTGACAAATTACTGTGAGTTTACATTATATGTAAAAAAGGTATGTAACTGATTTAAGCAGAGATTTATACCACAAGAAGTGAAGCAAGAATCTGGCCTAGTAATATATTCAGTTTTAATCTGGTGGAACATTATTGAAAATATTGCTTAGAAGTAATTTATGAACCCCTACAGAGTATTTGATTAAGCTGATCCAACGGATGTGTTAAAAAAGCCTAGGCTGCCTGCTGCACAAGACTAAATATGGCCTTATTTTGTCTGTATGCAACTAAACTGTTCTGTAGTTCTGAATAGTTCCGAAGCATACCTTTTTGGATGAATGGTTCCATACCAAGCAAATAAAATTATAAAGTCTGGTGTAAATTAGAGCAGTCTGTCTATTCAGCTGCTCACATTTATGAGATTTTAGTGAATGCTTGGATGCAAACCAGAAACCGCGTACCACATTCTATATTTCTATATAAAGAGAGAAAAGGAATTTGCAAAACTGTTTTGCTAACATATTTAGGAGGTAACTCCACCCAACTAAGTTGTATTTCTTAATAGGAGGCTATTAATCACTGCAGTGCTGTGAAACAATAATATACATCTGGAATATTAGACAAAATATAATTTTAAGCGTGTTGGAGATTAGCAGACCAAGCAGTATATGTGAGATATTCTTGAATTGCAGATTAGTTTATTTATATTCTTGGAAACTCAAATAACAGGTGAAAAATTATTACATTTTACTTTGTTTCTAAATGGATGCTTTGAATTAGTGTTTCGAGTTTTGTGGGAGAAGAATTAAACTATCATGGGATAACACAGAATCTCTTGAAAAGTCAAGTTACACTTTGAAATGTGGGCTATGGAGCAGATACCTTTCCTTTCTGGGAAGGAGAAAGCAAAATAGCAAGTGAAAGAATTTGTCGGGGAGGAATTCCAATATTATTGTTTTTTTCCTTGCAGAATACAGTTACAGAAGGGGAAAGAGAGGCTGGGGCTGAGAAAAATAGACTTTTTTTGAAAGCTTGGTCAGTGAACTTGAAACCAGTGGGAGATACTTAATGTTTCCCAATATTTTCCTGCAGGGTCCTTTGTGACGATACAGAGTGCTGTCGGCAAGCTTTGTTCAGTCACTGCATTTGCCTGCTTGCTAATCAGTACCTGCTTTCCCTTTCTATTTCCATCCAGGGAGTCAGTACTCCTAGAGTGCTGTTCCGGGTCAATGGCAGTTAGAGTAACTGCAGATTGTCCTAGTCTCCTCATTTCTATGCTGGATATAAAAATGGGTTTATTTTAACAGGAAGGCCTTTTTGTTTGTTTAAAGGTTTAATAAGATTGCAGTTGGAGCACTGAAGGAAAGTACCTTCCAAAACCTAAAGCACTTACAGGTACTGGATATTGAAGGGAACCTTGAATTCAGCAACAGTTCAAAGAATAAGGATGACTCAGAAGAGGAACTGGAAGATGAGGAAGAGGACGAAGAACTGAGATAATATGTGAACTCACACAATCACATCATGTGGGAGGTATCAACTGTAGTTTAGTTAAATCAAGGAGCCAGTTCTCAGACTCTTGTGTAAATAATTCCAATTTACAAGTATGATTGAAACATAACAAGTGGGTGTCTGAGCCCTAGACTCAAAGACTGACACTAAAACATGACTGGGAACTGCAGAATCAAAAAGGGTTGAAAATACATTATTTTGTAAAATGAAACAGTATATATCTGTGTTTTGTCAGACAGAGGCAGTGGACTGTTTGTAGTGGTTTCTGCTTATAGCCACAGCAGACACCCTAGGTAAATATGAAGGTCGTTATTTACTAATTCTGGTAATAAAAAATGAAAAGGTATTTCATGGTATTTTTTAGCAACTAGTTCAAAAGGAAAACAAAGAACACACTGTGAAGCTTACTGATGCAGAAGACCATGTGAGCTGAAAAATGGATTTAAAAAGTCAGACAAATTAAAGGAAGGTAGACCCATTGGTGTCTCTTAAACATGGCATTAAGATTGCAGCCTCTATCTCAAGCAGTCCTTAAATCACCAACCACTTGGTGTGGGAAGGTAATGCTATACTTAGCATATTTCTTATGGAAAGAATATCTACTTCAGGTCATTTTTGGAGATGGGTATGCTGGGCTGGATTGATGCCTGGTCCAGGATAGCCAGTTCTCAAAACAGCCTGTGCTTTTGCTGCTGATAAGTCTTGGTGAGGGTTCATTGCTCGCTTCATCCAGATTCACTGAAAGGCCTCTGTCCAGTTACAGGTTGTGTTTGATGCTGACTTTGATTCCAGACTTGTAATTGAAATTAAGATCTCAGTATTCCATAAACAATCTGACCAGCCACTCAATCTCTCTAGTTGAACCTCTTTTCTTTTCAGCTGTAGGAGAAAAAATGAAGGGAGAATGGTGTTTGAAGAATATGCATTTTTCCATAAAAAGGATAGGGATTTGCTTAATGCATTTCTGAAGCATTTTATGTTCAAAGACGGTGAGGTTCAAGACACTACTCTCTGCTTTTGGAGATCTAAACTCTACGACTTGAAAAAAAATGTTTAATTTTGCTCCTAATCAACACTTTGTCATGGAGAATGACAAAGGAATTGCTAGGAATAGTGCTGATATGCTGGAAAGATGATGGAGCTTGAAAAGGGCAGAAGCTAATTGGAAAGTGAGACATTAGACTTCATGACTGGGCTATATGAAAACTTTGTGAGACAAGAAATAATTTGTGTCTATAGACTTAGACTACATGTAACTTCCGAATCAATGCATCTCTGGTTGGTTTGGGGCATGTGTGACATGTCAGCAGGTGCTAAGTTTAGCATGTTCTGAATTCTGTATTCCATTATGTGATTGATTTTGTTTTTCCGATGTTTTGCAGGAGAGCATATGGAAATTACATATATGTCTGTGTGTATATATCTATATAGATATACAGAGAACACTTAGCAAAACGTGCAATGAATTACGCAGAAACTGTCATGGCACTGGGCCAGGCTCATGGAAGACAGTGTGTTACAGTGCCTTATTCAGGGAGAGACCCTGAATGCCTTTCCAAAGCTTCCAAATCATCTTATACAAGACCCAGGATCATAAGGGATTGCTCTGGAACTCACAAAAGCTGGCTTTTGTTTCTTCTGTTTCTCTTCCTTCACTGTTTCCATCTGTAATAACAATATGGGACTGTTTTGAGCACATGCCTTCAAGTGCTGTTTTTGTCACTGTATTTTAAGTGAACCATGTATATGCTTCTTTTCTTTTCCTCCACCCCAAAGAAGCTGTTGTTGATCAGGCGACGTGGATATTTGCAGTAGTTCCATGTGTGGAGCAGTGTGTGAGGCATTTTGGTCATCAAGCAGCAGTAATAATTCTGAATGCAAGTATTCCTCTGTTATAACAATGTGTATATTTGGATGAGAAAAACAAAGTAAGGCTGGATCCCATAATATTTTATCTCTACTGCCAAAGCCTGCAGTATATGCCTGTTTTAGAAAGGTTTTAAGATAAAACAGTTGCTCTTGTGAATATATATATAAAAATTCTATGTCTGCCTTCCAGAGCTTTGGTAAAGTTTCTGTTTTGCTGTTGTTTGCTGATGTGGCAATTGTGTGAATGTCTCTGAAGGTGTGTCCAGAAGACTGAGTAACAGTATGCAGTTTAATATATGTGGTAGAATTTTTCACATCTTGTGTATAATTCACATTAAGAGTCAGAAGTGAGACTAATGAAGCCAAAGAGATGAGTGTGGGGTGTCTTAGGAGAAAACTGTTAGATGTCAAGAGATATTTCTTTCTTTAGTTCAAGTCTGGAGACAGTTCCTGCTGTCATACTCTCTTGAAACCTCACCTGTTTTACAGTGGTGAGTATTCTCAGCTCCTGTTGGAATCACTGAAAACAAGGAAACCAAGAAAAAGAAGAGGTACCTGGATGGCAAGTTGTTTATTTGATTATAATGTCCTTCATCTCGGGTAGCTAATCGGCTTGACAAAATGGTCTTTTCTTTTGAGGATTTTTGACTGAACACATGTTGTTTTGCACACTGCGTTCCAGGATTTGCTTGGAAACACAGTTGGCTTAATTTTTTACCAGCTGTTTTTCCTGTTGGAGAAGTTCTAGTCCCACACTTTCCCTTTGGGTTTGTATAGCACATGACACTAATTTCAAGCTGATATTTCCTACTTCAGACAATTCAACACCATCATGAATCATCGAAGGAAAGATTGCTTCCTGAAAAAAATAAAAGCTTCATGCTAAAAATTGCAAAAAATGACATTTTTGAATTTCTGCTATACAGCTGAGCGATAAAATAGCCTTGCAATTGACTTTCGGGTTACAGAATATAGCTCAAATCAATTAGCTATCTCCAGCAAACCCCAGTGGAAGTTTTGCCAGTCTTTGGTGAAAGACCAATTAATTATACTCCTGAACAAGCTGACAATATGCAAATTTGTACAGTTTTATGGGAGAACTGTTTGATTATCTTTAAACTTCAGTCCCTTACACTGTGATTCCGTGAGAAGTCAGGTGCCCCAGACTCCCTTTGAATCCCTTGACAGTCTGATGTGTTGAATGCGGGGGTGAAGGTACATTTTAGCACCTTGTAGAATCAGGCACAAAATTTCAGCACGATGTGGGCACTGTTAAACTTCTTAATCAAGTGTCAACCTTTGCCAAAGGAGACCCCCCTGCAGTTGAAGGAGCATATCCTATAGGCCAAGTAGAGTTAGGAAACTCTTTTCCAAGTTTATTTCAAAATAATTGCACACTGAATCTGTCCTTTAAAGGGGACAGTATTTTTCCAGCAGAAAAAAAAAAAAAAAAAGACACCCCTCTTCCCCAGTAAAAGCCTCAAAACCCCCCAAGAGGAATGTCTTTTGACTTATATGTCATATAAGAGATTGGTGAGGGAGAACCACAGACTTGATTCCTCTCTTACCTGGTATTGTTAGCACTATGACGTTGGGCATAAACCTGTCAAACCAAAATGGGAGTTTCTTTCTTTCAAAGGAGTAAGAGGCTCCATGAGAGATGGTGAGGAATAGTCACTAGTCCATGGGACTAAGCCCACATATTTTATTGGCTGTGGGTGGTACCTGTCATCCGAAGGTTCAACCCAGGAACAGGGTCTAACTTTATTATTTCTTTTAATGAAAATGAGGATAGTTGCGAAGCTGGCCTCTCCTTAGGCCACAAAGTTGGGCCAGAAAGAAACAACACAACTGTTGTTCTCATGTAACTTTCTTCTGTGAATTGCTTGGATTTGGGAAAGAGAAGAATAGAAAGCTTTTAAAGGCTGAGCTAGATGTATGGATATTGAAAACTTGGAAGTCTAAAACATTCAGTTGGCAACTTTATTCCTCAGTGTGCGTTTGCACATGCTTGGTATTCATGCATGGTCTGTATGCAAACTGAGGTCTGAGTTTATTTGCCGTTTTTCTTTTAAAGGGCATGTTTCCTTATTACAGAGAATACTGCACAAAATGGTGGGGAAATGGGATTTTTCTGAGACTGCACCAGATTTTTCACGGCAACAGGAGTACAAACGCAGCACATAAGCTATCGAGAACTCAACCGGTGCCAAAAATAGCCCCTGGATAATGAGCTTTTGTTTCAGACGGTGGGCATGTAGCCCAGCTGCAACCGCAATGTGGACGGGCTGTTCTACAGCCGTTTTTCCCCTCGTCCCCATTCCTTCAGGCTCCTTGCCCCCATGGCCGTACCCTCCCTGGGTGTAGGACTGGGGCACCCAGCACCCACTCCCTACCCGCTCCTGCCTGTGCACGCCCTCCCTTCACTCCTGCCCTGCAGCGCTCCCCTCCAGGTAACCCCAGTGGCTTGTTATTTGGGGGCCTCCGGGAAAAAAGGCCAAGGATAATTGTATCTTCCCCAAAGGTTTTATCTCCCCACAGGGAGTTACAGCCCCTTTTCCCTCCCTGGGTGCCAGAAGGGGCTGCAGGGCCCATGTTGAGGTGCCGGGGGTCAGACTGGGTCCAGGAAGCCTGTTTCCCTTTGCTCCCCATGCTCACAGAAGTGGAGGGCTCCTCCTGCCCCAAACAGGCAAAAAGGCCTCACAAAGGAGCTGCTGCTGTCCCGCCTGCTCTGAGGAGCAGAGAGGCCCTGGCCATGGCAGCTCCTCTGTGGAGAGGGAGGTGGCACAAGCTGAGGCCTTCTCTCCTCCAAGATGGCACCCTGCGAGCCCCTCTTCAAGGAACAACAGGACCTCATGGGTGACCAGCAGTCCCCAGCTTCGGCTGGCAGGAGGGGTGAGTTGGGGGGAATGCCAGTGGTCGTGCTGCCAGGGAGGGAGGCAGGGTGAGGGGCTGGGGTGTCAAGCACGTTTGTGGTGTGAGGAGGAGGCTCCTGCTCTGCCTCACGGGCCTCGCCACACCATGCCGTGATGTTTGAGGTTTAATTGTTACGTTTAATGAAAAAGAGGTGCTTTACACTGTAAGTAGATACTCTTTTAAGGAAATTGAGTTCAGAAAGAACAACAAAAACCTCCAAAGGAAAACTTTTGACCAGATTTGAACGGGGATGTGGTGGGGCGGGAGGGAGGCTGCAGAGTGCTCCCTTGGTGGAGCAGGGGCAGCTCCTAATAAACTACCAACTGCAGACCTCTGGCAGCGGTGCAACATCTCTGTGGGGCTGCTTCCCCTGAGAGCTGCCAGCCACCCTCCTCGCAGCCGACTCTGGGTCAGGCAGCCATGCTGGCATGAAGATCTGCTGGACCTTCTGAAGAAAAGAATAGCTACTTTGAGGACTTGGAGATTATTTTCCTTAGCTCCTTTCCATAAATAGTACAGGATTTTCCGTTAAAAGGGCAGCTGGGGAAAGGATCCTCCAACTCCTGCAGGTGCTGAGGAGTTGGGCTGGCAGGCCTACTCCTAAGACATCTGTGGTACAACCCGCTCCTCTTCTGCTGCTGCTTTGCAGTAGGGATAGAGGGGACTTTTTCCTGAAAAGGCTGAGGATCTGGAGTAGCAGAAGCTAGGTTTGTGCAGGAGTGAGGCTATGGACCTGCACTGACAAAGTGGATGAGAATGGGAAGTGTCCTTCTCCCTGGGACTCAGCTGCCATTTCTTCTGCTCCTCAGTGGTCCACATGGAGGAGGCAGGAGGGGTCTGATGGAAACTTCACGGTTGTTCTCTTTTGACAGTGGTTCCTGATGGTCAATAAGAGTTTACTTTATGATGCTGTTTTTCACCATGTTGATGGAGCCCACTAACATTTTTACAAATTTTGCTTACAAAAATGTCATGAGAATAAAGATGTTTTACAAATAATATTTTTGATGGGAAGCAATCTCTTTGAAAGCTTCTATGATACAGTCCAATAACCTGTTAGTTGATTTTACTCTATCCTGTAATATTGGTGAGTCTTTCTTCCTGGGTTTGGGGATAGTTGTCTTAAAAACTTAAACATATATAGAGTTTTTTATAATATGAATTTAGCTTGTTTTTTCAAGATATTTCCTTCTCTAATGCAATTAATTTATGGAGGTCATTGTAATTGCTTAATTATGTTGCTAATATAAGAAAAGTGAGTAAATTCCCTAAAGAACTCCATTTCCTTTAGTGAGGAAAATATTGGTGTGCCCTGTAGCTCTGATTCATGCTGCTATTGTAAAGTCAGCCAGCTGTGAGATATATGTGGAGGCAGTGGATGATAAATGTGTTCTAATAATCCAGTATACAAAGTGTTTCCATATGAATTCTTCAGTAGTATCCAAGGACATTAAACAGTCCATCAATAAAGTCCTTCTTTAAACGGTTTTGAACCAGGCAAAGGCTGTTTTAATGCACAGTTGAACAGGCAGGCTATCTCAAGTTTTCCCCATGGTAGTTCCAGAATCTGTTTTTAGCGTATGATTATGATACTGCTGAGAACGTTGCTGCTGATAAAAATTTAAATTGATTTGCAGTATTCTCAGCTCCAGTTGCAGACAAGAAATGAATGAGTCTCATGCTTTGTATTTCTTAGGTTATAATTGTGTGTATGTTGACGGTCATCAAAGAAATTAGCTTTAAAAAATCTTTACTTAGGATATATCTTTTATACAGGATTAAAATTAACTTTGATTACTTATACAGCATTCTAGATCTCTCCCCTTCTTTGTGGTGGACCTCTGTTTTGGGTATGTTTAATTCAGATGCAGCACTGGGGTAAAACTTAAAGCACTTTACCGATGTGCTGAAGACAGTAGAGCTCCTGCACCATGAGGCACACTCATCATCCACAGCTTAAAAGATTTGGCAATGGGAGACTCATTTTGGTTGTTCGTACTCTCTCTATAAAGCAGGTAGGAAGAACCAAAGTGAATCTCCCAATGCCAAACCAGGCAGGAACAACCAAATTGAGTCTCCCGGGTTGTTCCCACCAGCTTTCAGAGAGGGGATGAGCAAAACATCTGCGATGCAGATAATCTCTAATACCTTTTGTGAAATTTGCTCTGGAGAGCTGCAGATTACTTGTGCAGAAAGTACAGTATGGAGCTGTACCTTAGTCCTGTGAACAGCACCAGTGAGAAAACAACTGAGAATGAGCAGTCACAGTGGAAAT